GAAATCTTGTCCTCCAGCCAGAACTTGACCCAAAGGCTCTCCTGTTAGGAGGTGAATTATCTCCTCTGCCTTCTTCTCTCTAAGGAAGGCCTTTGGGAGCCTTAGAAAGGAAGCCAAGTAAAAAAAGAGAAGGGATTTCCCCTGGCCATCCACTCTGCCTCCTCCCACCGCCCCTCTCTAACCCACACAGGGACACAGCATTCCCTAAGGTTCCATTTGACAGACGAGTGGTTTCGCAAGGAGGTTTCATCGCGTTAGACAGAGAAGAGCATCTCTAATCCAATACATTTCTAAATCCATCTGAATAAACAGCTGCAGAGGTCCAGCTGCCCTGAAATAGAAATCTCTGCTAAGGCCCGTCTCTGTCCTGTGGGAGAGGAAATCACACCCCTGGGTTCTGGTCACTGCTGGGTCCTGGTGGCTCAAGGGGCAGGGGGAGGATGGGTTTGGTCCCTGGCTCCACTGACTCTCTGAGACAGTGGTTCTCAACCTTCCCAATGCGGGACCCTTTCATACAGTTCCTCATGTGGTGGTGACCCCCCACCCACAAAATGATTTTCATTGCTACTTCATCACTGTCATTTTGCTACTGTTCTGAATTGGATGACTCCGGTGAAAGGACTGTTTGACCCCCAAAGGGGTCACGACCCACAGGTTGAGAACCGCTGCTCTGAGGGGTGAAGTTGGGCTAGCCATGGTGTGTGAACCAGATGCCAACGTCTCCTCATCACGATGTCTCTTGGCCTGCAATGGAGGGGTGTTCTTGTGGGGGTTTCTGGGTCAAGGAAAGGAAGGGTCTGACCTGTGGCCGACTATCCCTGATGACAGTGATCATTGAGGGGTAACAGCTACGTTGTTTACGGGCAATCCTGGCCCCTCAGACTTGCAGTTATGTTCTCACCAACATCCTCCCCCAATGGTCTTCTCTTTTCTCCTCTCTCCCCTCACCCTTTTCTCTCCTTCCTCTGGCCCCTCACCTTCCTTCCCTCCTTTCCCCTTTCCTCCCTAGCCACCTCCATAGTCTCTTCCACCCACTGCCCCCCAAGCACGTTATGACCAATCAATCCCACGGGGCCCAGGAGCACACCTGGGGTCACGTGTGCCCCTCTGGAGGTGACTTCTTATGGGATGAGTGCTCAGGGAGGGCATCCATGTGAGAAAGCTCGAGCAGCTCCTGGGCCCTGTGACCCCACTGTGTGCACCTGAGAAAGCTGAGGGTCTGATTTTTGCACACGGCCCCGACCAGTCGTCAGTGGTGGGGGCACACTGGGACTCAGACTACAGTTCCCATCACTGCAGAGCCCATGAGGTTTCTCTGCTGTACGGAAGGCTCAGAGGGGGGTGGGGGTGGGGGACAGGGAAAGAGAGAGAGGCAGATATTCCCCGGTGTGGAGAATTGCCTGGACACAGCGCTCAGAGACACGAATGTGGCCGGCAGCGCCCAGGAGGCTACTGGTGTGGAGAAGGGGACAGGAGAGGCGATAGAGGAAAGAGCTAACGTGGGATCTCATCTTGGCCCTGCTATCTCTGAGCTTCGTGAGCTTGGGGAAGTGTCTCCGCATCCCTCGGCTGGGCTCCTTCTAGCCATCAGGCAGGCCCTGCCTTTTCCATGAGCTCACAAACGAGATGGGCCTGCTGCAAACTGCCCGTCCCCGTCGTCAAGGTGACCGCCCCAACCCGTTGCAATGTGGAGGGAACCAGGCCGCACTTCACTCTCTGGTGCATGCCCACTCTGGGACTTAAGAGGGTCAGGGTAAGCCTCTGGGGGTCTGGCCATCTACCATGATGTCTTTCTCTGTCCCCACAGGGTGGGAGAATGTCTATGGCTTTGACATGACCTGTATCCGGGACGTGGCCATGAAGGAGCCTTTGGTGGATATTGTGGACCCAAAGCAAGTGGTGACCAATGCCTGTTTAATAAAGGTCTGGAGACTCCTCCTGGTTGGGCCTGGGTATGCAGGGAGCCCGACTGTGCCACCCTGGGAAGCCAGAACTGGGAGGTCCTGGAGTAGAGGCAACTCCAGCCCCTGCTCGGCCCCAGCAAGCACTCTTGCCCAGAGCCTCGGGCACCCCATGCGGAATGCAGCAGGCTGGCGCTCTCCTGAGCAGAGTTGCCGAGAGCATGGCTCCACGGTGGTACCTCGGAGGGAAGGCAGCCCAGGGCATGGTCCCTTGGTGGAGGGGTGGGAGGGCGTTGGTGGAGGGGCATCTAAGGAGAGAGCTCTAGAAGGCAGGAGGGATGCTCAGGTCTGCCTCTTCCCTTTGGAGGCAGATGCCCCTCGTAGGGAGGGACAGAATCTGTTCCCTGCACAGGTGGGAGGTCGTCCCTACACCCCCATGTCCAAGCACCCCCCGCTGGCCGGGCCAGAGTTGTCAGTGCCCCTTGGGAGGGTTTTTCACTTGTGCAAGTTCTAAATGTCCCTTCTCCCAAAGCTTCCGTGGGGAAGAACTGTCAGCCAGCCTCCTGCACAGACCCATTCGTGATGCCTTCCTGTGATAGCCAGAGGAAAGGCACCGGGTTCCCCTTTTCCATCCTGCCCCTCCAAGCCTGCTCTTTTCCCAGGAGTAACCCTGGCTCAGAGGTCGACGGGAGCCTTCTAAGCCTTTCTCTCTGTGTCTTTCATTGGCTACATACATAGATTACGTGGAACTGTATAAAACTAATATTTGACCTTTTCAATCCCGAAAAGCATCAAGTCACTATGGTTCGTGCTTAGACAGAGATAGCTGTAGGTTAGTTTTCCAATGAGAAAAGGCAGGCTCGTACAAAAGCATCCTCCAGCACCACTCCTCCTGGCTCTGGTCTTGCTATATTGGACACTGGCCTGTCCTGGTCCTGGCAGGGGGGGGGGGGGGGGAGTTGCTGGAGCACTTGCCGTAGGATCAGGGGAGAAGAGCCCCCAGAGCCGCTGAGGATGAAGGAGTGCTCCTAGTACAAACTTCTGCTCCAACCAGATGAGAACTATCTTGGTCCCTGGATCGGAGTCTTCTAGAAGGACCACCCCCCAGGACATCATTTCGTCATTTAGAAGGGGCCTCAGAAGGAAGGCAGGTTTGAGGGGACTCCTTACAGATCCAGAGGCTCCCTGCTTTCTGTAACAACCGGCCTAAGTGGTTTGTCTCCAAGTCTAAGCTTGAGTTTCTTGGCCAACAGGGTCCTCACTCCCTGTGAACTCAGCCTATTGGTAGCAAAGCCAAGTGAAACAAACCATACCATTGCCAGTGAGTTGATTCTGACTATGCGCGGCTCTCCCATGGGTCAGAGGGCTGTGTCCGAACCCACTGCTCCTCACAGGGACTTCTCGACGCTTGTGTTTATGGTAACAGACTGCCAGGCCTTTCCCGCACGTCACTGCCTGGTGGGTTGGTGCTGCTAACTTGTGGTCCACAGTTGAAGACCATTTGGGCCATCCATGGACCCGGGCTCCAAATGCAGGCCAGAGCCATTGTGAGCAACGTTGCCCTTGCGTTTCCTCCCTGTCAACCCCCTAGGCCCTGAAGCCTCTCCCTCAGGCTTCTCCAGAATAAGCCAAGTTCACGCCAAAGCAAGCAGCTGCTTTAGGGTGCAAACCTCTGCCGGTGCCTCTGGTAGGGTATGGGCGATTGACCGGCACAATTCTACTTGCAAACATGGCACGTATTGGCCGTACCCCCAAGCTAGGTGTCCATGCACATCACGGTGGTAGCTTGGGAACAAATGGAGATCCCTTTTCAATGCTCTTCAACCTTAAGTCCATCTCTGCCCCTCACTTTATCGTAGGGTGGGCACCCAGAGGGTCTGATTTGCCCAGTCACTGTTTCCAAGTTGCAGAAACCAGGTGGAGTCCAAAGATTCTAGGTTTGACGCCCCTTTGTTCTCCCGGGATATATCTATATATACAGGCTGAGTGCAACAGTGCTTTCAGACAGACAGACACACATCTTGAAATGACAGGTACAAGCCTAGGAAGACAAAGTTTTGTTTTAACCAAGATACAATGTTCCCTAGCTTCCTTTATTTAGAGACCCCAGATCTCCAGGAGACGGGTCAGGTATGCAGGACCCGGCCTTTTGGCCTTTTGTGAGCGGAGGGAGGAAGCCTGGGAGATCCCTAACACGCAGATAAGAATCAGGGCATGGCTTAGCCAGCACCAGGGGGAATTCATTCCTGGCCAAGATGGCAAGATGCCCCGGGAGGCAGATAGAGGGCTTTAGCTCCGAGCCACCGCGAAGGAGGATTCTAGCTCAGTTACTTCTGAACAAAGTCTATACTTCTCACTAACTGTATTTCCATCATAAAATAAGAGCAGATTAACTCTTCAAGTTCACTCCCTGTCAACCTCAGCTCCCATGTGCAGCTGTGGCCAGGGTGCCTCTGCATCCCTATTATGGGTCACATGGTGAACTAGCCTGATTTTGTCACCCCCTCCCCCCAGGACACATGCCTTGCTCCCCTTCCCACCAACTGAGGCAGGAACCTGGGCTCTTTTGGCCACATCCAGGGCAAAGCAGTCAAACTTAACCCAGGCGGGGACAGGGGGCTGGATTACAGAGATGCAGGTGTATTCCTAGGCAAACACAAAGGGCTCTGACAGTCTCCCAGGACTGGGAACCTGCCTATTTCCCGCTGTCTCTTCCTCCTCTTCCTCTCTGTCTTCTGGAGAAGGACGTGGATCAGAATCTGGGATTGCTCCCACATCCAGGACAGCTCTTCGCGCCAGCTCTCACTAATGTGCTAGCAGTGTCTTGCTGAGTCCGCTGGGAAAACACTTGCCCTTCTTCACACACTTAATTGCTATCTCCATCGCTATTAGCATTGCAAAATGTGGCACTTTATTATAATTAAGACTCTGTTTTGACCAGGCTTCTGCTGGAGACATCCGTTTGTGATGTTATTCAGTGGTGATAATGGCAGTGGCCAGAGGCGCTTCTGAGGCCTTTACGCCCAGGAGCCTTAGCTGCCGAGGTTCACCAGGGGCAAATCATCAGCTCCCCTGGGGTCTGGGTGCCCCTTGGCTGGAGAAGAAGCCTCCAGAAATGGGTCTGGGGAAAAGGGTGGGCTTGAGCCCAGAAGGCTTTTGTGTCTACAAAGCCAGCCGCAGATGAGGTGACCGCACAGATGGGAGGACCATGCTCCCAAAAACCACCTGCTTCAACTGTCACCGTGTTGGCATTTGGCTTTGTGACTTTGGGTGTGATGGTCTTGGGTCTTTCAGCGGCTCCTGTTGAAATGCAAATGCCTCTAGGACCTAGTGAACCCTGGAGCTAATGCCCAAGTAGAATTAAACTGAGAGCTGGCATGCAGTGGGTAGACATCTGCGGGCCTGGCCCTGTGGAGATGGAGTTCCTGAGGGATGCATGTGTCTGTGAAGTGAGGGGAGGGGCGGTCTGGAGGAGTCACACAGCCTTCTTCCAGTTCTTCCTCTCTAGACCAAGAGGTCCGGACACTTTCAGGTCAGCCACGGGCCATCCTTGAAGGTCTTGGATCCGTGGAGGGAGTGATACTGTCTAAACCAGCGGTTCTCAACCTGTGGGTCACGACCCCTTTGGGGGTCGCACGCCCATTTCACAGGGGTCGCCTAAGACCATCGGAAAACACATAACTATTTCACAATATATAAGTACATATTGTTTTGTGATTCATCACGATGCTTTAATTCTGTTTAATGATATTCAACGTGTAACAATGAAAATACGTCCTGCAGATCAGATTTTACATTATGATTCATAACAGTAGCAAAATGACAGTGATGAAGTAGCAACGAAAATCATGTTATGGTTGGGGTCCCCCCACATGAGGAGCTGTACGAAAGGGTCACAGCGTGAGAATCGCTGGTCTAAAAGGACTTCCAGGAGCTGCGTGCATCCGGTGACGGTGCGGAAGGGAGGAGGGTTCTGGAGAAGGAAAGCCTTCCGGTTTGAAGAGTTCAGTAGTTAAATAGGCATCGGACACAGAGCACACACTGACCAGTGCTGTGCCATGTGTGTCCCCAAAGGCTGAGGGACTGGGCAAAGGTGTGGTGACCTGGAGGCAGTGGGAAGGCCAGGCTAGGCTGATGGCAGAAGGTCCAAGAGCAAAGGACCCTGAGCAAGACCTTGGAAAGGACCTGGGCCCCAACCGTCCCTGGATGACAAGAAAATGAAACGTCGTGAGTGTGGACACTGTTAGCACTGCAGATCACAAGGCGCCATTCATAAAGATGGAGCTCACTCCAGTTTACTCCCCGGGCTCTGGAGTTGGACAGCACGTGGCCTGGAGGCTGAGGAACAGTAGGAAGGCCGGCAGACACTAGGTCTGAAAAGATTGCCCAGGCTGGAACAATGGACCAGACTACTGGGATGATCTGGAACACACCCAACCCCGGGGACTTTGTTCCCAGAGCCGCCTTAGCAAAGGACCACCAACGTGTGAGAACAGAATTTCATTGTCTCGCGGTTCCGGTTCCAGATGCTAGCCATCCGAACTCGGTGTTGGTTGTGTTGATTCCTCTGAGGCTTCACAGCAAGGAACTTCTCCGAGCCTCTCTCCCAGCCTCTGGAGATGGCCAGGCATCCTCTACATTCCTTGGCTTCATTTCAATCTCTCAATTCCTCCTTGTGTTCCCGCTTTTGATTCTTCCTTCACCCTCTTTGAGCTTTTTCCTTGGATAAACGCTGCTCCTTTGGTCTCTAGTGATTGTTTATTCTACCGTGTGCGTAGTTCCTTAGTGAGATTGTTGCCTTTCTACATCTGTCTACTGCTTTGCTGACAATCGAACCATTGGGGTGAACTCCTTTCCAGACATGAAGCGGGACTATGGACCAGAGTCTTGAAGGTTCCAGTAGTCTGTATCGGACCAGTAAGCGTGGTCTTCTTCATGATTTTGAGTGTCTTCTACGTGCCCCACCACTGTGTCTAGGGTCTTCTAATGAGATCCCTTTCAGGGTGGGGTCTGAACATATTG